CGACGCCAAAGATCTCCCCAAGGCCCCTCCTCCTCCTCCTCCTCCTCCTCCTCCTCCTCCTCCTCCTCCTCATCATCATCATCATCATCATCATCATCATCATCATCATCATCATCATCATCATCATCATCATCATCATCATCATCATCATCATCATCATCAGCATCAGCATCATCATCATCATCATCATCATCCATCACATCAGCATCATCATCCTCGCAGGCATCATCATCATCATCATCATAACATCATCTCATCAGTCATCATCATCATCATCATCATCATCATCATCATCATGATCATCATCATCATCATCAGCATCATCATCATCATCATCATCATCATCATCAGCAGCATCATCATCATCATCATCATCGTCGTCGTCGTCATCATCATCATCATCATCATCATCATCATAATCAGCAGCAGCATCATCATCATCATCATAGCATCATCATCATCATCATCATCATCATCCTCATCCTCATCCTCATCCTCATCCTCGTCCTCATCCTCATCATCATCATCATCATCATCATCATCATCATACCCAACCTCGCAGGCCCAAGAGATGGCCCCGAAACGCCCTCCAGGGCTCCCCTCTCGCTCCCAATTCTTTCAACTCACAATAGTTGCCCCCTTCGCTTCACCACATGTGTCTAGTCCTTTGTATCCCACGAACTCTCGTTGGCATCTTTTCTGGATGAGCTGGTGAGGATACGTGCACCCGTGTCCCTGGGGGGGAGCAAACCGATTACATGCACTTCGGCCTGTTTATTAACTTCTTTGCACCGATTGCAACCACCCAGAAGGGTCGGAGTGCAACGTGAATGACAATAACTGCGTCGCAATATTTCAGATCATTGAAAGGTGGTTGGAGCGGACTCGTGAGAGCCAGTGAGCAGCCTCTTCAAAACTCTGATCGGCCTCTTGAGAAGCCTCTGATCGGCCTCTTCAAATCCTCTGATCGACATCTGAAAATCCTCTGATCAACCTCTTACGAATCTCAGAGCGACATCTTGAGAGCCTGTGCGCGGCATATTGCGGGCCTGTGAGCAGCGTCAAATCGAGTCTCCGGCCGACCTCTTGAATGCCTCTGAGCGGCCTGTTGAGAGGCTCTGAGCGGCCTGTTGGGAGCCTCTAGGCGGCCTCTTGGGAGCTTCTGGGCGGCCTCCTGAGAGCCTCTGGGCGGCCTCCTGAGAGTCTCTGGGCGGCCTCTTGGGAGGCTCTCAAAACCGCGCCGTGGTGTTCTCAGATGATTACTCGGGGAGCGTGCGCCGAGTTCCGCCGTGTTCCGCCGTGTTCACGGGGGGGTGCTGGTGGTGCCCCCGGCGTGCTGCCGTGCTGGCAGGGTCCGTGGCCTCACAGGAGCAGCGGGGGTACCCTCGGACGCGGCGGTGCCGCAATCAAGAGATTGCTGCAAGTCGGCATGGGCGCTCGAGTTGGCGTCAACACGCTGTTTTCCTGGGCCACTACTGCGACGGCTCTGTGGCTCAAACACGGTTCCGTCGTTTCGTTTGGCATTGGACAGCGATCCGTGCTTGCCCAGTTGCTTGCTTTGTTGATTGCTAGCGCGAACGATCGAGGTGGCAATCCGTTGTTGGTCGTCGAGGTCGCAGCCTGTTCTTTCAGAATCCGAAGCGCTCACGCAAGGTGTTTCACTCTATCCTGAAGCGGTGTGGACAGCCCCATCCAGGATCGTGCCGTGTGTTACACGCCACCCTGCCGCAACCGCAAAGGACCGATTACAACTGATTGCGATCGATGTGAAAGACTTCCGATTGGCGGTCCCATGTGGTCGCCGTCGGGCGACATTCGCGGGGGATGGGTCCGACGTCCCCGTCCGCCAGAGCATAGCCGGACGAGCACGCGGAGGCCCGACAGGCAAAAGCGTGATGAAAGGGTGGGGGGGGGCCAGGCAGGCCGCGAGGCCCCACACCCAGCCCTCGGCCCCACACCCGTCCCTTCTCGGCTGCACGCAAGTGACCCCAGGCACGGGTGAGCTGTGGTGCGCGGTGGTGGGGGCGCAGAGTGGCCAAATCCAGGCGCGCAAGCAGCCGCTGTCGCATCGCGCTCAGCGATCGGGGAGGCCCCGATGAGCCCGCACTAAAGGTCACTCCGACGAAGGGTCACTCTTAGGTGTCACCGACTCTCCCCGATCCGCCCAGCCGAGCTCCACTCCTCCCATCCATCCACTGCTCCCTCCCCCTGCCGGCACATCGGATCCCAAAGCCCGCGCAGCGCAGCTGACGAGTGTCTACGGCATATTCGTGTCGAGACGACCACGGCGTTGGTTTCGGACACCGCGGGGATCGTTCAACCTTGAACGATCGGCGGCTCTTCGATCGCCCAGCCGCTTCATGTTGGTCGATTCTGGGCCACTGGCGGCGTTCAACCTTGAACGCCCGGGGCGGGGTCGACGAGGGTCGACACGACGCGAACCTACCGTGTGTCTTCGACGGCTCCTCGTCCCAAGCCCTTGTTTGTTTGCCGGTGCCCTCCGCACCTGCCCCCACCACAGGGACCGGTGTCCCACTCTAGGCGGTGCCCAGAAGCGGGCCAGGCGCGAAAGACGCACGCTGTGCTTTTCCCGACACGTTGGAGGTCGCCAAAGGGCCCATTCGCCAAAGGGCCAATGCCCCATGGAGGTAGCCGAAGCGAAAAGCAGTGCAAGGTGGAGAGCCCAAAAGCGAATGTGATTCACCCACGGGCCGAAGGGCACGCGGAACTACTACAATGGAGGCCAGTCCACAAGAAACCTTCCACAAGAAACCCAACCCTGAGACCCCAGGACGTCCATGGATGTTTGGTGTGGGAACGTCACGCTCTTCATAGCCAAACCATCGAAACCCAAGAAACCCAGGGCACCCTGGAGGCCAGCAGGGTCTTTCTTGGCATGGGTCCCCACTGTACGCTGTGCTTTTCCTGACTCGTTGGAGGCCGGGGCCTCGGGCCTCGTCAGCGGGCCTGGACCTGTCCCGGGATGCGTCCAGACCAAAGTTTCGAGACGCCTCCAGCCGTGGCCACGAAGGCACCCCAGGAGGCCCAAAAAGACCAGGAAGCGCCAAAAACATCGGGCCTCGACCTTCGAACCTCGAACCTCCCCCGCCTCCCAGGACCCGGAGCCTCGACCCACGGAACCTCGCAGGCCCTCGACACGTCCAACGCGCATCAGACCACCGCCACCGGGCACGACGCACGCCCCGCGGAGCCCACGGGCGCGCCTGGTCCACGATTTGCCTCTCCTCCGCCGGGGCACCCGCCGCGCGCGAGCGGACGGAGCGCTCCACC